AGTTATAATAGGTGCAAGGTGTAGAAACTAAATGCAATTACCACGTGGTGCACCCTGGGCAACGTGTACTCATACGGCAAAGAAGTCTATTAACCGGCAGTTTACTTCTGACTTCAAAATACTATGGCACGACTGCTTGTCATATTCGACCGCTTCCACAGTACTCATCTTACCCTTTTCTCTGCCTTTGTGTCTGTCTGCCTCTTTTACATCTGTGAATCGCTCTTCTGTTCCCCACCCCTCGACTTTCTGCTACTTTGATGAAACTTCTCTCTGTGAAGCCCGAAGTCAATTAAAGGGCTAATGATAGCTGTCAAAACGCCTGCCATTTGAAATAAATAAATAAATATTGATAAGTGAGAGTGTGCAGGTCGCAGTATATAATCCATGCCTAACCGAGTAGATTATTGGTCATCCCAGGAATTTTACTTTCATAATTTTGGCAATACTCAAAGAGTCTTGCATCATTATTAACTTTGAATCTTTTCCTTAAGTACCCCGCTTACTACCTTAATTGCAAAAGTGACATATTAAACCAGCAAAAGAGTACACAGTGATTTGGCATCTGTAGGGTTCGCAAACATGTGGTTTCAGAATATTTCGACAAAATTTGTTTGAAATACCTTCGCATGTCATCAAAATATGTTTGAACAAATTTAAGCAACAGGGCTGTTCATTTTAAATTTTGTAAACTTTAAACGCATTTGCAATGAAGCACTTAGAGCATACGGTTTCATTGGGAACTTCCGTAAACTTTCGAAAAAATGGATAATAAGAATTTAGTGCGCAATCGAATTCTTGAGAAAGTCGCTTTATTCATTTAATATGTAATAAAATACGAATCAATATATATATATGGATTTCTACTGCTAACTGGATAAGTTCAAATTTTATTCATTTTAATCTTAAATCCACATTTAAAACTATTTTTCTTACTGTCTTTATTCGAAAAGTTTTAAATAAATAGTTAAGAATCTTGATGAACAAAGCACCATCAATTTTGCTGTTAAAATGAAGGCATTTTTTAGCCTAATAGAATAAGAAAGCAGTTTAAAATTCGTCTATTGAATGATCAAAATTGCATTTAAGTGGTGCAATAGCAACTAATATAAACCATAATTAAACGCTTATAAGCTTTTTCTCAAAAAGGACTGAGAATAACTTGCATTGTATGCAATTATTTTTATGAAGAGATATCACCTGACTTCAATCTAAGAAGAAAAATCTTGTTAACAGTCTAGAGTTTTGAACCACTTATTGGACGAAAAATTTCTAATATTCTAATATGTGTGTACAATAAACATGTATTGTTTTTCTGCTTAGTCAAACATAATTAATTTGTATTTCAAATAGATAGATTAGCAAAATTTAGCTCAATTAATGAGATATTACCGAAGGTATTTTTAATATAAAATAAAATAACCAGTTGTTTTGTAGTTTAAATAATATAAAATGATAAAAAAAAGTGCTAGTTGATAAAAATGTAATACGGACAATTTTTTAACAGCTTAAATCAGAAAAGCAAAAATATGATATTTTCAAACAAAATTAAGATAACCAAATAAGTTTTTCAATTTACCATTTTTTAATTATTATGTGATAAATAAAAATTATTTGCTAATTTAAGTATATCAAAAAAACCCGATTAATTTAAAATTCGCCTGTATGTGATTTGTGTCCGCCTCAATATTCTCCTAAGATTTAACCACTTTCGTTCATTTCATTATAGTCATTTATATTACATCTATAATTTTTCCTTATTTTTTATATTTGCATAATTTTTGTTCAACGATATTTAGTCTCCAATGTAGTCTATGATGTTCTTTATGTTAGCATGTCATATAAAAGACGCCGACCTCCACCTCGCGAGGCCAATGAAGAGGAAAAAAGTATAATTATATGTGTCAATCATTGTGCGCGCGAACTCGATGACATTCTTCAGGGTGCAAGAAGAAAGGCTCAGGGTAATACCAAACTTTTTGCTGACAAAACTGCTTCATCGCTCTTTCGCGGGATGAAGACGTATCAAAATATGTACAGCAAGCTTAAACTGAAATCAAGGAATGCTCTCAATCGTTTGTTGCAACGGTCACATGATCTAGAAGATATGGTTGATGCTCGTGATTGTATCGAGGAAACTGAGGACTGTTGGCGGCAATTTCTGTCTAACTTAGACAGTGATGTACATCGTTCATCTTGCGATTCCTCTGATTCGATAAAAAAGATTGGCGACTTTATTGATCTCTCCAAGCCTAAGTTGGTTGATTGCAGTAACTTTAGCGAAATTACGCTCGAGCAAGTCCTTTCAAAGTTTACCAGTTCACTTCTCGTTTTCTTACCTTCTTACTTGCCTGACACTGCTGCAAGATGCAGACATTCCGAAATTTCTAAAGTCATCGTAAGTTCTTAATTTTTGCTTTTGTCTTATCGATTTGGTTACTCCCCTTTATTGGTGGAAAGGGACTACATATTAGATAAGAGAAGTTGCAGATAGTTTGGAACTTTTGGGATTGATTAGTAGGATCTGGAGTGGTACGATCCGAGATGTGGCTGAAACTTTGATGCGGTTTTTCATTGTCTCTTAGTGTTAACCATATATTTGATAGATCACCGAGGCAATTTAAAGACAATATGTTAATATAATTATGAAGGCATGATAAATAATTGATTTTAAATGAGAAATTATGTGTTGTCAGACGCCCGTCTGAGTCTTCGTCGAACACCGAATGCACTGATCAGTAGAAATATAACTGATTGATATCGCTATTGATAATTACGAAGCGCCCTGGAACGGTCAATTGTGAACAACGTGTAGCCTTATTTTCAGCTGCATATCTCTTGACTATCATTTCCATTGTAAATATAAATGTTTACTGGGCTATCAAGCCCTCGCTTTCTGCATATAAACTTACCAGTACCTTCTGTTAAGTCGTTGTAGCAATTTATTTAGCTTATTGATGTTTATTGTTTGAAGTATAGGAGTGTTGTAGTCGCAGAACTCCCGCTATATATATATTAATTAAGGCTTTATTTTCCAAGGCAGATTTTTATCAACTGAATGCCGGTTTTGCCATTATAACCTGGGGTCCCGAACCGGTCGTTAAACCCTGGAGCAGTCGTCTTCTAAAACATGTCAAATGGCCTGTACTCTGGGATCGAGACAACTTTTTCACCAAGTTCCTTTCCTTTAAACGTGGATGCGCAAGGGTGAGTTGAAATTACTGTTCTGTCAAGATTTTTATTCTTTTACTATTTTGTTATTTTTCTTTGCAGTTATGGGCCCCAGAAATGTTGGACTTTTGTGCTTACCAGAACTATGCTCATAATCGAACATCTGAGCCACTACCTTTGGACATAGATTGGAGTGAGTGGAATTATGTGGGTGGGGAAGTTGTCATAGCTTCTCCAGCTGTCACGCGAATGTTCTATCATCGTGATATGGACGCTCGGCTAAAGGCTGTAGCGAAAGCAGCTTCAGCAAGAGGCCGTAAGGAGAAGCGAGAGAGCGAGCATGAAAAAGACTCCGGCGATGAGGATTTTGACCTACCTCCTTTGCCTCTTCAACCGGATACAGCATCTGCCCGGATTTGCTACATCCATCGAGCGGATAATATTGCCGATATGGCACTTCCTGGCAGTATCTACCAGTCTGCTCTCACTTGCTTCGCTGTTCTTCACAAAAAAACTGAAACTGAGGTTGTTGAGGACATTCGAACAAACAGACGCCTTGCAACTCCTCCCGAAAATGCCAGATTGCAATACGAGACAGCTACAGGGCTTTACTATGACCCGGAAACAGAGCTCCATTATGATGCGCGTAGCGGGTACTTTTACGATGCAGTGCGGAAGACTTACTACTACTGGTCAGCTGAAGAACATCGATATATTCCAGCAAATGAGCTGGTGAAGGCACAGCAAGAGCAGGCACATAAAGCAGCCATTGCCGCTGCTCAAGAGGCTGCGAAGAGAGCAGTTCGGGAACAGGAGGCAGCTAGAGCAGCGGCGGCTAGAGTATCTGCTCAATTGGCCGCGTTGGGGGCAGACAAGGATGAATATGCCAGTTATGCGCTCTCTACTTGCCTTCTTGATAACGATGATATTACTAGTGTGCATGCTTCCTACAGTTCTAATATTCAGCAGTCTCTTCAGCAGCTTGGTGGAACGCCGACCTCATCTTACTCGTATGCCACTTCACAGCCATCTAATGCAAGTGATCTCTACCCTTCCGGTTGTCCCCCTCCCCCTGGAACTTGAATTCGTGTTACCTTTGTCAGATTTGTACAGCATTATTTAAATTCACGTTATTATTATGGTAATTTTACGTTTGGTTGTATGTTGATTAAAGGAGCTGCCAGCGTTGATATTGTTGGGAAGTAAGGGTACAATTTCAAGACTCCAAGTTTGAATTATAGACGGAGTGAGATAGATCAATTTTCTTGTTTCGTTTACGGCACAAGGCCTTACCGGTTTGACGACGAGGGTTTAAGGGTGGGGTACTTTAGGAGTCATTATATCTACAAAATGTCTTGGATTAATGACATTATTGAAGCTTGCGATAGGTACCAAGGCGTAGGGTGGATATTGGGAATACCCACTACTAGACTATATATCAGGAATCAAACTGAATAGCTAATGTTAGGCTAGGTCAAAGAAAGGTACCTGAGATAATTGTATCGGTAATTAGAAGCACTTAAATTCATTGAAGAAAAGAAGCCGTTTGAGCCTGAATCAGGATAGGAATTATAAAGTTTCCTATGCTTGGTGTTTAATATTAGACCAAACTGGGTGTGTGATGGACTTACCTCCACTTGGTACGCCCTGGGCAACGCTTACTTATACGGCAAAAGAGTCCGAAAGTCGGCAGTTGACTTCTAACAACTAAGACTCGGCGCCATGTCATATTATACCATCACAGTACTCATCTTACATTTTCTCTTCCTTTGTGTCTGTTCCCCTTATGTCCTCCCGAATTTTTACCAATTTGATGTTCCTCCCGCTGTAAAACTCGAAGTCAGCTTATAAGCTAATGATAACTATCAAAGCGCCTGCAACTTGAAATAAATGAATATTTGAAAAAAACAATTTCGAATAAAATATTTTTAAGGAGATTTCATGTTGCAAACATTTTACTTAATTATTTTCATGAAATTTTAAAAAAATATACTTTACTAGAGATTGATTATATTTAAATACAAAATATTTCGTAGCTTGTTATAAACATTTCATTATAAGGCGCTCCTTCCGTTTCACAAAATAAATTTAAGGTGTTTGCAATGGAGGCTTTCGTCGATATGTTAATTGAGATGGGCTATGAAAAGGGATACGCGTATGTTTTTCTTTATTTTTATCTGCATTCTTTAGCGAGCAGGCGGTGAAAGAAACAAACAGTAGGAGCATAGAGGCGGCTTTGGATTGGATAGCTGAAAATCCTAATGAACCTGGGCCGTCCCAATCAATTGAAGGTGATCATCAATATCATTATATGCATTTTTACTTTAGGATCATCAAATCTAGTTGCCCGCTCATATGTCTGCGAAGAGTAAGTTCTCTTTTTGTTGTTTTTTTTATAAATCTGTTCATAGATGTGGAAAGAAGCTAAGAAATGATGATGAGATGCAGTTTCACAGTGCAAAATCTGGTCACTGTAATTTCAGTGAATCTTCTGAGGAAGTCAAAGCATTGACAGAGGAAGAGAAAAAGGCAAAAATGGAAGCTTTAAGAGTACTTATCTCATTTATTATTAAACGAGTTGTCATTTAGGTAGCTTTAGAGGAGAAAAAGAAAAAACGTTTTGAAGGGGAGAAACAGAGGGAAATTGACGATGAAAAGCGGCGTCGTAACCAAGGCAAAACGCTCTTAACTGCTAAGCAAGAATTCAAACAGAAAATGGAAAGATTGGAAGCTGAAGATAGGAAGAGGCAGAAGGCTGAAGATAAAGCTTACAGGTTTGTTTTGTTTTATATTCTTGTCCTATTGTGTATTTACGCACTGTGTTTTACTCAGTTTCTCTTTTACAGAGCACAATTGCTTGCTGAAATTGAAAAGGATAAGGCTGAGAGGGTATTTTTGTTTTGCTGTTCTTTTATATTTATCTTAGCGTGTATTGTCATTAAAATTTTTATAGCAAAATAGAAAAAATGGTTGCGCTCCCGAGAAAACTACAATTTCATCTCCTCCCACGAAGTCAAGCTTACCTTCTACTGTCTCTTCAGACGAATGTCGTCTTCAGATTCGAACTCCATATGGAGCGCCTCTAAAATCCACTTTTAAGTCTACCAATAAATTGGTTGATGTTCTTCAATATGTCTGCAATAACTGGCCCGATGAACCTAACGGCATTACGCGATCAGTGATTGATTCAGAAGGAGTAACTTTGCAGACTACCTTCCCGACCAGAAAATTTACCGACGAGGATCAGTCATCTACGCTTCAGGAACTCGGACTCTGTCCCTCTGCTGTTATTATGGCGAATCGGCTGATGAAGTACTACTAGTTTACCTTCTTTTTTAACTGGTCTTTCATTTTGCCTTTTCATCTAAAACTCAGTTTGTTGATTACTTGGCTGGAATTGTACATTTCGGTGAGGTTTTTTCAAGATGCGCTTGAGTTGTAAACTTGCATTGCCTATCTATTTTTTTCTTTTAATCGGTTTTGGTATTGTCTTAATTTTAAGGTTTTCGTTAATATTATTTAAAGATTGGGTAGTTTGCTAATTAACTTTACTTATTTAAGTTTCATTATGTTGTAGTCGAAATCCGCGAAATGGGTTAGGTAGAGGGGGTCGAATATAGCTAGAAATTAATGTCAGAAGCGTGAAAGGAACTTGCACTTTCCTGGATTTTCTGTATGAATTCTTAGTCGCGACATCTTCGTATATACGCACTTGAAAGTTTTGCATGGCTTGGTGATGGTAATGGAATAAATGTCACCGGTTGATTGAACAGTTTGGCTCACAATGTGTGTAGTAGCTTGATTTCATAGCATCGAAGGGTTTTCCGATCCCCATCTGGGAAAGTTCATAGATGTCTCTCCAAACTATTCAATTGATCATCTTGTAAGCTATCTAATGACAACAGACTTCACTGCTTCATGACCAGTTCGAGAAGAAAACATTTGCAGATCTTCATAGGCATATTTCTCCCAATTTGGCGCTTTTCAGAGAAATACTAAATAAATTTTAATTTTGGGAAGAATTTTTTGACGAATTCACATCTGCATAATAGGGTTTTAAGTGACTTAATGACTTGACTCCTTTCGATGGTAACTGTCCCAGTGATCCCATTAGTCATTTACCTTCTTCCGGCACCACAGTTATAAAACTAATTTTCATAATTCGGGAGGGTTTTCTACTGAATGATTGCTTGAATATCATTCATACATGCAGCTCCATGGGCCTCTGATCCTTTGCCTATTGGTGGAGTTCGGGTATCTACCACTGAGGGATCTTCCACATATATTTGGACTAATCAAAGTATATTAGCTATGGAGTTAAATTATGACTTTAAATTATTGCACGAGTGCAATTGTGTTTAGTAAGCGTACGACAGTTTATGTTTTTTTTTTTCCTATTCATGCGAAGAGGCGTTAAACAGCGAATATGAATTAGATAGTCGTTATCGACCTTTAGAAATCCGATGTAAATAGGAACGTTTCTGCACTTGACGAAACTCCATCCAACGCAAAAAGTCAGTCAAGGTGTGACCCAGTGATGTGGGCTAAAAGGTAAATTGAAAGACTTCAGTCTGAAAACCAAGAGTTTTACTCAGCATCAATCACCACTTGAGAATGAATATTTTTGAATGCTTTCAACAGGTGCCTGGCTTTAATAAAGGCTGGTGCTGAAAATTATAGCAGATGTGGGTTTTAAACAGCGAGGATTTAGAGTCGTAAGCATTCAAATCCGCTCTTTGGAATTGCATGCTTGTTAATTGGCATAATCTATCGAGATAATGCCATCTGGCATGATACTAAGCCTAGCATGGCTTACTATGCACTTTAATTACCAGCCCTAACAGAACTGTTTTCATAGCTCAATTTCTAACTTTTGTGAGTGTTGTTGCTATCAGTTAGCGTGTACTCTCAAGTGGATGAAAATGACCATAAAGCAGCATATTATGACCTGTCATCGTTTTGCTTCAGAATGCAAATTTTCATGCGATAATTGCACTTTCGACAGAGGAAAAGTGAGAGAGAGAGAATTAAGGTTCGGAATCGGCTATGAAATCGCCCTCCGTATTAGGACATTATTAGCACAAATTGGTGCTTAAAAACTCATATTGTCTATATTCTTCTCGTGTTCCAAGAAAATCACTGATGAAATACTCATTAAGTGCATGTCCTTATTCAGGTATCTGTCATCAACAAAGATCAAACATGAACGACTGTACTCTAAGTTGGACTGATTAAATGAACTAAATATGGAAACATCAATAACAAGCAATTAGGTCACACACTTGAACTACGAAAGGGCAGAGGGTGTCAGCTCTTCTTGTTCATGATTTGAAATTTATTATGTGATGGTACTATTGCCACGGTACTACAAATATCGTGTACTATTTTGAACCCCGAAAAACGGCTTATTAGGTTAGATAAAAAAGGAAGTCAAATAAGGCATGTTAATAGGTGGGTGATTAACAATAAAGTCAGGACATCACATATCCTACTCCAGTTGAATTCAAAATTTACATAAAAGAAGGGTGGTGCTCCCTGGGCAACGTATATTCATACGGCAAAAAGTCTATTAACTGGCAGTTGACTTCTCACTTCAAGCTACCATCACCTCTCTCTATACCATATTCGACTATTTCTACAGTACTCACCTCACCTTTTTTCTACCTTTGTGTTTGTCTCATACATCTTTGAAACACTCTTCTCTTCCCTCCCCCCCTCTCGACTATTTTCAATTTGATGTTCCTTCCCCTCTGTGAAGTCTGAAGTCAACTAAAGGGCAAGTGATAACCATCAAGACGCCTGCCATTCAATATAAATAAATATTAGTAATATCGGAATTTTCAGTATTCATCGGTTGTCTCCCCGTTTCATGAGTGAGATTACGTCCATCAACATCAGATCCCATCAGCCCTACCACTCTAATATATTCGCTTCAGTTGACAGCTGCTGGAACTTGTGCAGATAGTGGGTGAGCCCTTGTACCAATAAAATTCATGCTGTGTCTACAGAAAAGGGTCTTTCTTATCACAGGATAGGAGCTAATAGAGGTCTCTCATGTTAAGAGGATATGGACTGACTGGGACAGACTGTTAAAAGGAAGAGACAGGCACAATGTGTTCAAATAACAGTGCTTAAAGTATTGTTAAAAAAGAGTAAAGTTGTTATTTTCTGACGACACATTTGAATTTCCGGAATTGGCTTTCCTTTTCACAATAATAAGATTTTTTATAGCAAAAATTTTGCACAACAGTTATCAAGCTCTTTAAAGTCCATATGACCATCTTCCTTTTGCAAAATTTTTTTTTCAAAATTAGTTATCTGATCACAATTGCTTCGAAATAATGATTTGCTTAACATTATCTACCTATGGTTTAATCGTCTTTGAAGATGATTTATGTTCCTGTGGCATTTATGCAACTCTTAATCACGTTGAATATGGAGTAATTACTCATAACTACCAACATATGGTCTATAACGCTATAAATATTTGATTCCAAGAGATTTACTTCTAATAAAATTGATTAATTGTAACTTTAGCCTGATTGACAGATTGATAAATGGGTGATACCTTTCATTTATGAAAGCTGTGCAGTTCAGATAATTTCGGTTTTGCTTCTATATGAATAAATCATCAACAATTTAAGACGCAAATGACCATTTTCGCTCTTTTTTTAGCGTTTAGATAGGAGATTGGGCAGTCAACGATGAATGCAGCATAACGGCTTCATTTGGTGGAACTGGCAGTTATCACCATTTATGAACCGTTTATTTTCTCAGTTCTGAAACTTCAGCCCTTTATTGGAGCCTTATGTACTGTATACTTTTTCAATTTCTAATTTTATACAATTTTATATATTCCATCGATTTTAAAAACAGACAACTGGCTTAAGGGGGTATTCTGGTCTAAAAAAATTTCGAATTTTTATCGCATATTTTCATAGTTTGACTATTCAAGAATATGTCTACGAGAGGATTTTCCAAAATTCAAATTGGTTTCGGGGATATAAGTATCTTGCTGAGCAGGCATCCAAATCGGTTGGGCTGCAA